AGCAATAAATAGTGAACAATAACAATAGACTAAAGATAGTAAAGGTTCAGTTGTGCCCTTAAGACTTTAAAAGCCATCCTCACTGTTAAGAGATCAACATGAGCTGGAATAATCTGGTACACACTAAATAAGCCTTAAAATACACAATTGTATCTCTTTTATAATAATGCCTTGTTTTTATTTGAGTTTCAGTATCAGTTTAGTAGTGTGCTTGAACCTGGCATATGGATGCATTATAGTTTTATGTGTATATACACTCATATAGATTACAAATCAGTCATTATTTATTCAATACTTATTTATTGAGTACCTATTGATTGACACCTACATAGATTAGCAATTATTTGTCATTTATTTGGCAAATATTTTTTGAGTACCTATTGATTGCCAAGCACTGGGGCACATATTAATGAACAAATAAGAAAAAAATAATCCTTACCTTCATAAAGCTGATATTCTAGTGAGTGAGTCAAACAATAAACAAACACATAAATATAATATATAGTTTGTTAAATAATAAGAGCTAAGGGGAAAAGGAAACAATGAAATGGAATAGAAAGTGTGAAAGGACAGGATGACATTTCAGTGTGGGAGTGAGAGAGCAAACCATGTAGCTATAGGGGGAAAGACCATTTGAGACATAGGGAATAACAAGAGCAAAGGCACTAAGTCGAAATTGAACAAGCTGATCAGTATGTCTGGAGCAGAGTTAGTTAGGAGGACAGGAATGTGAGATCTGGGAGATTGGAAGACGAGGATATGCTGGACCCAGGATACTTAGAAGTTATTGCAAGGACTTTGACTTTTACTTGGAGAAACTGAAGTTTGGGAGCAGAGTGTCATGATCTGAGCTAGGTTTAAACAGGATCACTGTGGTTGCTGTTTTGAGAATGGATTTAGGGGGTTAAGAGCAGAAGTAGAGAGGCTAGGTAGGACAGTCCAGGCAGGATATAGTGGTAGATTGGAATGGGATGGACCAGAGGAGGTAAGGTGAATTCTAGATAAATTGAATGTAGACTAGATTTGTAGAATTGCATGCCAACTGCTTCTTGGATATTGAAGTTCTATTTAATATAGTTTGATCATTCCTAAGTTATATGTTGTAGGTATAAGTGATAATTCTTTAATTGTGTTTAAGAACTCATTCATTTACATAAATCAGTCATCTACTGATTTATCTGTAGTACTTGTGATTTTTCTAACATCATAATGCTTTTAGTATGAAGTCTTTGAAGACATCTCTATGTTTGTTGTTTTAAAAACTATATTTTTGTTTGATATTAAATTTAAATCTTCCAGTCCATACAAAATATACTCTTCATTTTGATCAAATTAAATAAGAAAGGACATTTTAACCTACTACCCTCTTATATGTCAGGTGTGATTTTTGAAAATCTAGAACCTGAAGTTAAAATTCTAGGAGAATCTTTTTTTCATCATCTTCTTCTTTTTAGTTTTCTTCTACTGAAATGAACATGAAAGCGATCTGTAATGTTAAAGGAAAAAAAGCAAGATCAGTTTTATTTTATCACTGTATTAACTTCATATTCTTGTCTCATCAGGTCATCAATTTGATAATTTAAGAATGTTTTCTGAACTGACATTTTTTTATTTCACCACATCCCACCTCATTCCAGAAAAGTATTTCTGCAGCTCATGAATTGTTGTAAGATAGCTTTGAGAGTGTTTTCACCCTGCAGAAGTGTGGCATTCCTAATTACCACCTGGATGTGTAGTGTGGGTCTCATTTTGGCCCTTATCAACCATAGTATAATACCTCAATAATTAGTGGTCATTTCATGACCAGGATGAGGTATGGTGTTCCACACTATCCCACTCAATGCTTCAAATTTCGCATGTACTACACAGAAAGTGTAGAAAGAGGAATAGAAATTATATCCCATATAAGTACCTGACTTTACAATATTTTGATGCCTATCTTTCTCAATATACTTATGGCATAGAATTGTATAGGTATATATTTTATGAGTATATATAGAAAAATAATTATAGTGTATAAACTTTAGTAAACTTTTTAAAACAATATATTGCGAACTTTTTCCTATTAAATAATACTCTTTAACAGTATTTTCAAGAATAAGAATAATTTTCTTTTTTTTGTAATAGAGTCAGTTTCTTCTTTCAGGATATTTAAGTTATTTCCAATATTTTACTATTGGAGACCACACACAAATATTGTAGCTTAGTTTTTATTTGTATATATTTTCATTTTAGGCTATTTCTAACTTTATGTATATGTATGTGTCATGGGTAAAAATTATAAAGTTAGAAGTTGAGAACAAAGCTGCTTATTTCATAGTTAAAAAAAGTAAAGGCATTGGAATGTGTAACATCTACCACATATTACTGATGGAGCAAATGACAAGAGATTGGGCTATAATGTGCTTAGTGCAGTGCCTGACACATAGCTAATGCTTCCTGAAGACTTATGAAGTGCCAGGCTTTAAAGTTGTAAGTACTTTATACTTGTATGTAACCCAAGGCCTAGCTGCAGAGTCCATTCTGTCACCATGACCCTGAACAGCCACAATAATTGCTAGCTCGATGTTTGAGGGTTCAGTAAGTGCTAGTTTATATTTCTGCTGCACAGCTGTATAATCCAGAGAGGGTTTTGGTTCCAATATTTTTTGTATTTTAGGAAGATAATTTAATACGGATTACTCCATTTTACATAGCACTCCTATTGGGGTTTGGAGCAGCATCTCATAAGCAAATGCATTGGTGTTTCTGCAATGAATCATGTTTATCTTTACACTAAATGAGATTAAAAAACAAGCAAAAAAACCCTATGATTAGCCTTTGCCCTGTGAATTTTGAAAACGCTTTGGCTTTTAGAATTGCAGGTATGGGATTGTGGACCTGCAGAAAACCCTTAGAAGAGTACCTGGCATTTAGAACACACTCAGTATGTGTTGGTGGATTCTATGACTACTTCTAGTTATCGTCAGATACTTACACTCATGTGCATAGAAAATTGGTGACTCATACAGTGCTAGGAGTACTTCTCACACCACATGTCCTAAGGAGGGGGAAATCTAAGTGTTGGAATATTTCAACCATTCTCCTCTAAATCAGAATAAGAGAGTGCTTAAGTGATAGCCTTTCTTATCTTTTCCCTTTCCTAAATGTAGGTACGCCTAGCTTTGTGCTCCTATCCATCTGTTCATTTGTATTCCCAATTGTGCAGCATATAATTTAAGTCTACAGAGTAGTGAAACTTGTGTTTTCAGCCTTCAGAGATCTTAGTGAAAAAATGTTTTTCTTTGCTCTTTATTATTGCCTCTGTCCCCTTTTTGTGGTGAGAACATTTAAGATCTACTTTCTTAGCAAATACCAAATTTATAATGCAGTACTGTTAACTATAGTCACCATACTGTACATTAGATCCCCAGAACTTATTCGTCTTATACTTGGAAGTTTGTACCATTTGACCCAAGTCTCCTGATTTCCCCTAACTTCTAGCCCCTGGCAACCACTGTTCCTATGAGTTTGCCTTTTTAAGAGTCCCTATTTAAGTCAGATCATACATCTTTCTGTTTCTGGCTTTTTTTCTGTTTCTATTTCAGGCTTATTTTAAGTCTTTCTGTTTCTGGCTTATTTCACTTAGCATAATGTCTTCCCAGTTCATCCATGTTGTCACAAAAGCAAGATTTCCTTCTTTTTTATGGCTGAATAATATTCCGTTTCCTTATCCATTCATATGTCAGTGGGCATTTAGGTTGTTTCTATATCTTTTATAGCCCCTTTTCTTTAAACATGAACCCATTGGGAGATCAGTTTAACTGATCCATCGTTTCTGTGGATTTGACGAGATATGAGTAAGGACTGAAGTGATTATATTTGAAATTGAGATATTTCTTCTTCCTTCCCACCATTTTAATTGGTAAAAAACTATAATCATAGTCATTAGTACAACCACTTACGACAATTACCAAAATGTATCCTAGTTTACATAATACTATAGAATTCTACTTTGATTTTAATTGTATGGTGATATTAATTTTATTGTATTGTGATCCAAATACAAATTTATTAGATACTCCTGATATGTACATTTGCTATTAAGATTTTTAAAATTTTGGCAATTGAGTTTATATCTATTCTCTATTCTTGGAAATATCCCTTTGAGCTGTTTAAAGATACATTGTATATAGTTTGTTCTCTCCTTCTGTATATTTGGGTAGTATTTATCTTTCCCCTACTCTGCCCCTTCATAGATAACTGGAAACAGCTTATGTAGTTCACTCTCTGCTTTATAGCATCTCCAGTGGGCTGCAAGAGCCCTTTGAGTAGCTAGTCATACTGACGCAGAGAAGTAAAAACAGAAATGTAATCAGTTGTTGAGGGTGAAATGAGGTCTTATTTATTTGTACTTGACAGTTTTTTGATCCATAACTAAATACAGAATAAAGAGATATATATTCCTTTTTTTTTGTTGGAAAAGAATGTGTGAAGTCTACAATTTGTAGAGCTGTTAGCCTTAATTGATCTTTAGGAGGGGTGTGTGTGTGTGTGTGTGTGTGTATGTATGTGTGTTGGGGGTTGTGATATAGTTTATTTCATACTGTTTGATCCCCATGGAACTTACTTGTTTTGGCTGCTGGCATTCCCTGTAGCATCATGTTGGAATTTGGCATGCTGGGTTATAATAAACTAGCTATTTCACATTGTACATTTTAGTCAGTTTCTTAGTGATAGTAGCTATTTAGTTTAAATTGTAGAGCAGAAAACTCGAAAAGGAGGGTATAATATACAATCACCAACTGATACCATGTTCAGAAACACAGTTGTTTGGGACATGTTCACTAATGTAACTTTTTCAACTGACAATATTATTTGATTTAGGATCTTAGAATTTGAACTGCATGGAAATCATTGATAATTTTGGTGTTTATTTTTTTACAGAGAGGAAAAAGGAAAATGGATGACTGAAAGAAGTATTATTTATCATATTTTAAAAGTTGTGTTTCCTTTTCTAGGTTGCTGTAGTGAAACTGAAAAATGCAGATAAGGTGTTTGCCATGAAAATACTGAATAAATGGGAAATGCTGAAAAGAGCTGAGGTAAGATTCTAATTATTGGAATATTTTAATAACATTTTAGAAATATTTTTGTAGAAAAATAAAATACAGAGAGCCAATAGACCTTAAGTATCATTTAGTAACCTTTTAACTATGATGACATTATTTTTTAAGGCCTAAGAGACAAATTCAACAATTCGCAGTTGTAATGTAGTTATGATAAATGTTACATTCATGATGAAATTTAATATTGCCTGAAAATCAAGTGGAAACCTTTTGAAAACGTGGGGCTTACACACTTACATTAAAAGAATGTGTGGAAACCAGTCTCTTTTATAGGAAGAACTTTTATAGTGATTGATTTCCAATTTGATCTAACTTGTTTATATTATTCTGTATTTATCTGTGTTCTGCTCTAAGCAGAAGTCAGCAGGAATTTTGAATATGGCCTCTAAGGAGTCTGTTTATTGCTGATTGTGGAGTTAAATTTTTGTTTTGTTTTATGTTATTAAGAATAGGAGTAAACTCTGCTGTTGCAAGAAGTGTTAGCATTTTTATGTTAGTGCTGGATTTGAGGGAAAGATTGACTGGTGTGATATTTAAAATGTCTGGTAGCTGGGATGGTATGGTCAGAACTGACATTACACATAAATCTGGGGGAGGGGTTCATAAATTTGGGGGAGGGGTTCTGGAGGTCTTCTGCTGTGCTGGGTCATAGTGAGTAGCTGGATGGGGTAGGGCGTTCAGGGGTTTCAGGGAAACAGAACTTACTGATATGGAAGTATTTTAATATTTAACTTATAGACAGGTTACACTGCTGAGTAGGCTGAGTATTAGCCCTGGAGTTTAGTAAGATCCTTAAAAGGATAATGAGAAATTAGCCCTTAGGAGTCTTCCTTTGTCTACCAGTACTTCTAGCAACCTGAAAAACAACAAACACGTAGGGAAAAGCAAAAAATGGTTCCCATGATGATAGGCATATATGGTGGTAGTGAAAGTAAATACTTCAATATTTCTTTTGGAAAACTTTAAAAATATAATGAAACACAAAGAAGAAACTAATAGTCACTTGTATTCCATTACTTGGAATTAATCAGTAACATTTTTTGCAAGTTTTGCTTTCAGTCTTTTTTTTCTATTTGTCCACTGAAAAAAAAATTACACACATGAAATATAGATACATTCTTTGTAAAACAGATAATAGCACATTGCAGATAAAGCTAAAGTACTCTTTTGAGTAGACTCCTCCCGAGTCCAGCCCCTCTCTACCTCCTAAAGGTAGTTACAGAGGTAGTAAAACCCTGTTTAAAAAAGTATCTGGGAACTCTTATATCACTCTCTAACATATGTGTCAGTGCCCTTTATATTCAATAACTTAAGTATTTACTTTTGTATTTCCCTAAGACTGAATTGCCTTACTGTTGGTGGTTGGATTTTCCAAGTAGTAAACGCTTAGAATTAGTTTAGTGTGCAGTAGATTTATTAGGGAGTGCTTTTGAAACTGACATTGATAGAAGGGAAAGGAGGGAAAACATGATTTGTCAGGGAGAAGTCAGGCTGTCTCAACAGTCTCTGTTGATCCAGCAGGGTGCTGTGGAGGAGAAATGGTCCTTCAGAGTTTTCCTGCCTTGGGCCAAAATGATTGACCTTTATGCACCTGCCTAAGTCAGTCACTGGATATGGGCTGCCTCCCAAAGGATATGGCCTTGGACTAGCAGGCTCTGTACAGATTCATCATTTACAAGCTTTGTTAGTGCATCAACAATCCCTTAGGTTAACTTCTCCCAATCTATTCTGTAAATTTTACTTTCTCTTCAAATTTATTCAAGTCTTACTGATTTCACTCACATAGGAGATGTCCTTACTCATTTTAGTGGAAGATACAATATAGTTTACAGAAATACTCTCCATCTCAAGAGTCAAACCACTCCAAGGCTCAGTTATCTCATTTATTAAATAAAGGTAATAGTCTCTACACCGTAAGTGGAGTAATAATGTATCTCAGTTTAACTGTGATAGTACTGGTTTATGTCTGTTGTCTTATTATTTTTGCTATTGTTGTTAGCCCTCTTTTATTATTTTTATAATTGTATGTGCCAGTAGTAGTAGTAGCAGCAGTAGCAATAGTAATGAATTGAAGTCATTAGATTTGAACTGCGTTTACTTACTGATTTGTCACCTGCGTTAAAAAAATGCAGATACTACAGAAAATAAAACGTCAAAAAAGAAAACTCCTTTTTCTTCCCCTGATATCCAGTCTTTTTGTTCAAAGTAAATCATTATTAAGAATTTCTTATTTATCCTTAATAGAAAATTTTACTATGTTGGAATCATATTAAAAGACTGATTTTTCAAATTGCTTTTATCATTCAATAATATGTGTTGGAGTTTTCCATTTCCATATTTATACATTTATCTCATTCTTTTTAATAGTTTAATTATACTGAATGGATATATTATTTAGCAGGTAGATTTTTTTAAAAAAACGTTGATTGGCATTTAGATTATTTCCATATTTTTAGCTATTTTGAACTATGCTGTAGTAAAAATCTTTATGCACATAACTTGGAGTACTTTTGTAAGTTTATTCAAAGTGTGAATTCTTAGTAAGGTGGAAGCTAACTATCTATATATTCAGTTATTTCACCAAATCTAGCTATGTGTGGTTGGCAAAGACAAATTTCAAAACAAGAGAGAAAATAGGCCTGAGAACTAGTCTCGCCACCTAAGCAATGTAAAATAAAAATAAAAGGGGCTGTGAAATGCTGGCAATCAAAGATGTTGCTGTTGGCTACCCTGAGGTACTCCAGTTTGTGTGTACTGAGGTTGAAGTGATTTTAGGGATAATTTTTACACCAAAGGATTTTCACATTCTGTTGACTCTAGAATTTACCCACTCTACATTAAACTCCTGAATAGTGGAACTCTTGGGTTGTGGGGGGCGGGTATACATTTCAATTTTGATAGCTGTTGCCAAATTGTCTTCTAAAAAGTTGAATCAGTGTGTCTTTGCAGTCATAGTATGTAAACATGTCTGTTTTCTCTCACTTTTGCCAATTGTGGATATTATCAAATGATTTCTGTGACATATCTCATGTTTGCTTTGGCCATCAAATATATGTTAATATGGAGATTTAAAAGTAAATTGATGCTTTGGTGTGTAAGAGCTAATATTTGGAATTCTTACATTTTGCAGTTTAAAACTACACTTATTTATTTTTTAAAAATGAAAAAAACTTGGCTTTTTTTCCCCTCAAATATTAGAGTGATTCAATTATTTGAAAGAATTTTTCTGTGATAGCTTTATGGGTAAAATAAGTCTTTATTGCTAGTAAATGAGAAGCCAAAGTAAATATATCATGAGTGGGTTTTTTCTTTTTAACATGATTTCCAAGTATCTGGGCAGTTTTGATGTGCTGTATGAGAATGTTGATCTAATGAATGCCCATGGACCTAGGGAAGGGAATCCTGTGACAGTTTTATAGAATTATTATCATTTTTACATGGTCCATATTAACTTCTCTTTCATCATAGGTATTCCCATTGACCTTTCTCTTTAACCAATAGCGCATTAAGAATAAAATTTAAACAATGTGTAACTGAATATTAATAATGTAAAACTGCATAACAATCAAAACCATCACTGTGGCAAGTAGTATGCTTGGGTGAATAGAAACTGAGTGACAGAATCTGAAGAAGCTACATGGTCTCCAATAACCTTCCCTTCATGCTTATTGCATTCTTAGACACTCAAATATTCTCTCTTTTTTTTTTAAGGGGGAATATTTTAAAAAAATCTTATTTAAGTGTTTTCAAAAGGTAGTTTAATTAGACATTATTAAAGTCTTTAATTTCATTGAATCCTTGGTATTTACATGCATCATGGTTTGGTTAATACTGATCTAGAACAGGGTTTCTCAGCAGTGGCACTTATGGCATTTGGGGCCAGATAATTCCTTGTAGGGCTGTCCTATGCGTTGTAGGATGTGAAGCAGTATCCCTGGCCTCTTCCCACTGGATACCAGTAGCATTACCTCCACTCCTCCTCAGTTGTGACAACCAGCTGAGGACAGTGTGACATACTGAAGCAAAAAGGGCCTGTGCTTCACATTTAAACTCAGTGTCTGAGGTAATAATAGGAATCATTTATAATATCTAAATATGTATGGATACAATCATATGATGTCTGAGATTTTCTTCAAAAGATCCTGTGTACATATTCACATGTGCACATGTGCACACCTGTGCGCAGAGGGAGAGTGGTGGTGAGTGGGTGAGAGTGTAGCTAAAACAAGATTGAACAATAAAATAATTGTTAAAGTTGGTTGATGGGTATGTTGAAGGCAGAGGATTATTTTACTGCTTTCTCTTACATATGTTTAAAGTTTTATATTATAAATAGTTTATTTTATATTTTATGTTTTTAAAAATTAATTTTTTTTCACTAAACAGTTTAGAATAGATTAGAATCTACTGAAGTTTAATACGTTCTGTTGACAGGATAGTCTTTTGGAACTCTATTTAGTTTGGAGTCATCAGTCAGATGCTTATTAGATTCTAGCTGGGTCTTTAAAATTTCAGATAGCTGTCATGGTGAGGTAAAGCCGGGAGAAAGGAGTCTCCTAGGCTCTGACAGACTTCACCACCTCTCTAGTGTTAGCAGCAAATTATAACCTCAGGTCAGTTAAAGTCTAAAACAGTATTTAGTGGTGAGTATGTCAAATGATTCTACTTTCCTCCTAAAATGAACCAAAGCGTAATATTTTAGATTTTAATAGTTGAATTGATAGGTAAAACTGCCCATTCATTTGGTTTAAGCTTTACTTGTTTTTAATATTTTCTTTGCTGATGATATTTAATGAATGGCTTTGGAAATTCTATTGCATCAAATAAAATTTATGGAAATACAAGGAAAAAATTCGGGTACTTAATTAGGGTATATTAGATAATGTTAATTGTTTTGTATGTCATGGTTATTGAATATATCTTGTGGGAAATAAATGTTCAAGCACGTACTGTGTGTAGAATACTGTATGATTTTTTAGTATGTATGGAATATGGTACAGCCATTAAGAAAAATCAGGTAGGTCTCTATGTACTGGTATGGAATCCTGCTCAGATACATCATTAGTTGAAAAAAAAACAGCTTACAGAACACTGTAATCTCGTTGGTGTAAAGAAAGAAAAGATGGGGGAGATGGGATACCACATGTATATAGTGTATTTGTATGTGTATGTGTGTGTGTTTGTATGTTTATATATACATAGAAATTTTCCGAGAAGATATTCAATTGAGTTACTGGAAGTAACCTCTGGACACAACAGGTGGACAATGAAAATATGAGGACATGACTCAGGGAGACTTTTAGTTTCTACTTTACCTTTCAGTTCCTTTTAAATTTTCTGGCATAGTGATTTTTTAATTTAAAATTTAAAGATATAGAATTATAATGTATCATATAGTTATTTTTTATTTTTAGCCACACATTTCTAAGGTTCTCCAGAATATATCTTTATAATAGAGGAAATATATCCTCAGAATAAATTAAAACTTTCATAAATCAGTAAGAAAATGACAGTCCATTAGAGAAATGGGCAAAGGGAGTGAACAATTCAAAGAGAAAGCTCAGATGTCCAGTAAGCATATGTAAATTATTTATTTGCATCTGTAATTAGGGATATGTTAATTAAAAGAATAATGAGATATTATTTCACACCCATCATAATGACAAACACTTTAAAGTCTTAATGCCAAGTGTAGTTGAGGATGTGGAGGAGAAAGGGAGACTTCATACATTAGGATGAGGATAGTAATTGGTATAGCACTTAGAAAAGAAAGTTAACTGTATCTGGTAAACTTGAAAATGCTTATATCTGGCATTTCTACTTTCAAGTGTATACCCTAGAAAAACTCTTGTACATTTGTACAGATGTATTGATTGCAACATTGAAATAATACAAAATTGGGAATAAACTATGTTTTAATGATTTGTTACATAAATACATTCTGGTATATTCATACAATGGAATACCATAGCAATTAAAGGGAAATAGTCATCACTGAGTAAAAAGTAATCAAGTTGCAAAGGGATAGATAAAACTATACTATTATGGAAATTTTCAAAACATAAAACAATTCTATTGCTTTTGGATACATACATGTATAAGCATACGATGGAAGAATATATACTAATTCTAGATTATTCATTTTATCAGAGGAGGAAGGGACGAGAATGCTCTAGGAACAGGAAGGCTACAACTTGTATTTTCTTAAAACAAAAAGATCAGAAGTAAATATTACAAAATATTGACATTTATATTATTTGGGTGGGAGGTTGGACCGTGATTGTTAAATGAGTCTGTGTATTTTTCTGATTTTTTTGAACTCTAACAGTATTTTTAAATATAAAATATTTTTAAGTGTACTACTTCAGTTGTCCAGTTTCTGAGGATGCTTTGAAACTTGAGTTGTTGAAAAGTCATATAATATTGGATATATTTCCTTTTTCAGAACAGAATGTAATAAATATTTTAAGCAATTGTTTACATAATGTATTTCCTAATTTTAAAGAAGTGTCCTTAAAAAATTTTTTTTCCTTTTCAGACAGCATGTTTCCGTGAAGAAAGGGATGTGTTAGTGAATGGAGACAATAAATGGATCACAACTTTGCATTATGCTTTCCAAGATGACAATAACTTAGTAAGAATCATTTTTGTATGTTTCTGTATCCTCATTGATGTTTTATTAGCAGAATTTAACATTATTTTGTCTTAAGCATTATTTAAATACAAATATTATTTAGAAAACCACTGAATTTCATAGAATATAAGTTGTTTATTTGATATGTGTTTTTTTCCCTTGAGTAATTTAAAACCTTTCCATTAAAATTTTTTATGATTTTTAATAAGCAAGTCAATTCTAAATCCAAAAGATTTAAATTCTCATAAAAGGTGGTGAGGATTTTTTTCATGATTTTTCCAATATATTTTATTTGTAGCATTTTGTTACTATTTAGAATATTATGTGTTTTTCAAAGTTGCCATGTGCTACTTTAGGTAGAGCCACATTTAAAATCTAGGCTATGTCTAATTTTATGTTAACATCGTGAGCCGCGTGACAAAAAAAGTTGGGAAAGAGCTTGGGTGAAAATCAAAATATTAGAAGCACTGACAATCAAAGATTGAAGAGATAAACAAGTGAATAGGAAAGTAAGACAAAATCTGTCACAGTTGAATATACAACTCCTTGGCCTGCTATTCAAGGCTCTTCATTTTCTGGCCCCAGTTTTTATTTCTAGGTTTATTTTTTAGCATACATGTGTTGAGTTCCTGCTGTGTGCCAGGCACCACACTGTGTACTGGAATATAAAAATTAACAAGACATTTTCATTCATTTGATAAAATATTTACTGGCATGTGCTGTGTACCAAGCACTGTTCTTTAGATTCTGGAGATTCAGTGGTGAATAAGACAGACAAAGGAACTTTTTTCTTATTGTTTTTACATTCTTGTGAGGGGAGCCAGATAAGGAATCCACAATCAAGTAAATAATATTCTCAGAATATTTCAGATGAAGAAAAAATAACATTTATTCAAAGGTATGAAGTCAATAAGGACTCCTCTAAGACCAGTTAGCTAAACCAAGAAGGGAGAAGAGGTGGCAAGGGCTTGGTGAGCGAAAGCACAGAGATTGGAAGCCACCTTTTTTATTCCTATTGATGGAGGATAGAAAAAGAGGCTTGGGGATGAGGGAGGAGAGACGAGAGAGTCACTTCTTACAACACCTTGTATGTTACGTCAAGGAAATTAGACTTACAGCCATGATTTTCAAAAACAAATTTTTTTGGTCATGGAACTCTTGTGTATGTGCTTCTTAAAATGACATTATATCTGAAAGCCTGGACAATAAAGCATATAGAAATGGAACTGCCCTGACTGATCTCTTAGCTTCCTTCTTCCACTTCCCCTCAGGTTTACTCAGGGGGCTTTCATAGAGAAAAATTTGAAAAACTGCTGTTTTAGGATGATAGAGGGGTTTGTGGCAGGAAAGGACTAGGGCTGTGAAAGAGCTGAGAGAAGGGCTAATGTGATTCTAGTAAGGAAGGGAAGAGATGTGTAAAAATGAGGCTCCCAGAGTATAGGCTGGAAGAGTTTGAATTTTATTCTAGTTTCCAGGAGGGTTTTAAGGACAGTGTGCTAATCAGTTTATATTTTATATAGAACATCCTAGCAGCAGTGTGAAGGATGGATTTCAGGGGACAAAAGTAAAGAGACTAGTTAGGAGACTTTTGTAATATTCAGGTGACAGATAATGAGATTTTGAATAAAGGTGATAGAGGGGGTGGTTTCAGGTACTATTTAAGAAGTAAAATAATTAGAACTTTGTGTGTTTGAGTGGATGTCAGTGGAGGAAAGGAGTCAGAGTGAGTGCCAATTTTCTGGTGTCTGACTTGTGGGATTCAGGGGTTGGGAGTTGATGAACTGAGTTGGGGAACATAGGAGGAAGAGAAAATTTAGAGTAGACAGAAGATGATTAATTTACCTTGGTGTATGTTGGGTTTGAATTGTCACGTGATCCATTTAGTAAGTCTGGTGTTTCTGAGGGTAGTATATATATAGCAGTATATAGCTTGGAATTCTTATCTTACAGATCAGATTTTGGCCAACTACTACCTGCAGTTCAAATCTGGCCCACCACCTATTTTTTTGTGCAGCCTGCAAGCTAAGAATTGTTTTTACATTTTTAAATAGTTGGGAAAAAATCAGAAGAGTATTTTGTGACAAATGAATACTATATAAAATTTGAATTTCAGTGTCCATAAAGTGTTATTGAAACCCAGCGATGCCCATTGATTTATGTATGGCCTATGGCTTTTGCACTACTGAAGCAAAATTGACTAGTTGTGACAGAGACTGACACTGTGACAGAGGGTAGCATGCTTTATGTGTTACTCATTGCTTTGCACTGCTGCTCAGCAGACTACAAATGGCAGTGACAGTTAAAATTTGATAGCATTTCAAGTGCTATATATATTGCTATACCATGACATCCTATTATTACTTTTTATTAATAGTGATATGCCTCATGTCAAAATAAGGAAAGAATAAAAAAGTAGACTTTTCAAATATCATGCTTTTACAGATCAGTAGAATGGATTATTTTGTTAATGAATTAAAGTACAGCATGGTGTTCATTACACAACAATACTAGAGTTGTACTGATAGACTACAATACATGTCTACACTGCCAACTGAGCACTTATCACAACATTCCTAACTTACAGGAAAGCAGCAGTCAGAATAGTTAGAAAAGTTAAAACAATATCTTATCACAGAATTTAAAAATAAAATACGAAAATAAAAAATGAAAATGGGACTGCAAGTGAAATAAGTTCCTGAGTGGCTCATTTGTTAGCCAAGCAAGGAAAGCCATTTACCAATGCTGAGTTCATTAAATCATGTTTGATTGCTGCAGCCAAAGAAATGTGGCCACAGAAAATAAACTTGTCGAAGACCATTAGCCTTCTGGTGTGAACAGTTGCTCAAAGAATTGAGGACATTGGGAGCAACATCAATGGTGGATTATAAAATCAGGGAAATAACCATTTCGTGTCACATTGAGTGGTTTTCTTTGCCTCTTGAGTTGAAAAATGTTACTGACTCTGCTCAGTCATTGTTATCTGAGGAATCAATGTTTGAGTTTGAAGTAACTGAGGAATTAGCCTCTGTGAATACTTTGTGTGGAATAATTATAGTCAATATTATTTTCAAAGAAGTTAAGAAAACACTGATTTGATACAACCTGAATTGACATTTGCTAAAATGTATTACAGTTGAGAATGGTAAAAATATGTATGGAGCAGGAAAAAGCTTATTTGACAGATTTACAAATCATATGAAAATATTAAGATACTTAAAGCCTGTAAATATTCATTGTCTTTTTAATCAGCAGGTAGTTTGGGGCAAATATTTGAATCTATCATGTGTTAAAACAGTATGTCAACATTGACCTTCATTCAGTCTTATGGAAACAGCCAAGCATTTCTGTGAATTTTTATCAAAAATCAAAGTTAAATATCTTTGCTGTACCATATAGCTGTTCACTGGTTTTGCAATGGTAACATTTTATTGGCAATATTTTAAACAAAGGACTAAGATTGAAATATTCCTGAACAAAAAACCCCACCCATTATTACGAGGGACTGAATAGGTTTGGAAATTAGCTTTTCTTGTAGACTTGATACGTTTTTAAAATAAATTTAGCATACAATTACAAGGCAAAACAACACATATACAAAATTTATATTATGGTGAGGTCATTTGGCAACTGACATTGTTTAAATCATGGGTCATGTCAAGCTGCTTTATCTACTTCCCATGCTGTCAAAAGTAAAAAGGAGTGAGATCTCCATTTCCACCTAGATTTGCGGCAAACAGACCTTTTGAGCTCAAACTACAGTTCTAGCATCAGTTTTGGGGCCTTGATGCAGGTGCAAAGGAAATGTCTGTAGTTCAAAATCCATTTAACTGGTCAGTTGAGAATGTCCACCTAACTTTCAGTTAGTAGTGGTTAATGGGCAGTGTAATGGCATGCTAAAATACAATTATTAGGAGAATTTAATAGCATTCTATAAATGTCTTCCAAGTGAAGAATATGCTCAATTAAAATTACATGCTCATGAGCTAATACCAGTATTTGGTAATACCTATCTTTGTGAATAGACAGCTTCACAGATGAATTTGTAGAATCTCATTATAGATCAGCATTTACAGATTTACATTTTCAGTAGATTTTTGATGATAGGAAACACTAACTCTGAGCCCCAATTAAGCAAACTGTTATATATTCTCTTCCCCCTACAAAAGATTACGTTTTCTCTTTAGTAAACTATGTTATAAAAATTGTATTCAATTATTATTTTATTTTGAATTTTTCCAATGCATTGTGTGGAAATTTGTTTTCTTTCTTACTACATGTATACCTTCGTAATATCCTTGATTTTGCCTCTTGGCCTGCCAAGGCTGAAGTATTTACTATCTGGTCCTTTACAGGAAAAGTTGGCCAATGCCTGTTGTAGACAACAGTAAATACAAGGAGTAAATAATAATCACTGAGTAGTGCTTGTAAATTGAGAAATCAAGTTTTCCTAGAGAAGATAGAGATGGGACCCAGAGAAGTAGAAACTAGTGGAAATGTCAGAGCAAAAAAGAATCAAAATGCTGCACCGTGGGAACTAAAGAAAGGAGAGTTGTAGAGGAAACCATCTAGAGTATTACAGCAAAATTTTGCCTAATTTTCAATGAAAAAAGTCTGACTTATTCTCTCTCCTCTGAGTTATTTAGTCTTATCTGTGCTCTTTGCATTTGACATTAGGGTTAATATTTCTTTTTTAGAGACATTTCTCAGTGAAAAATAGTGTGTGTATACCAGTAATTAATCATACTAGAATGAAAGTTTCACAATAACTAGAGGGGGCTGACATGTCTAGTAGTCAAATCTCCTGTAAACTGCCAGTTTTTCTTTAGAGGAACCTTCATGGTTTATTAGTTTCAGGAGTCAGAGGTTCTAAATTGTCTTAGTTATCAAATATTTTGTTTTGAATATTTATAAAATATTAGAAAATAAAATCATATCAAAACATTGACAAGCCTAGTTTTGGATACCAAAGAGGAAATTTTACTACACATAGTTATTTTCCAAAATAACTTTTAACCCTGGTAACCCTGAAACAGTCAGATAAGTAACATGATTTACAGACCTATACAATTCAAGAAAGCTGTGGTAAATAATTTGACTTTCATTTGTGACATACTTAGATATCACTATAGCCAGTTTATGAAAAAATATATGGAGTCATAGCATATGTGCATTTTATTTGCTTTGGAAGAAGTTGCATAATTTAATGAATGACATTAAGATGTGATTAGAGCATTTTTTTTCCCTTAAGAAAAACTCATGAAATACAAATCTACTTAACTGCATCTGTATGGACACATCAACTTCTTATCACTTAGATGTCATTTAGAATATTATGAATTAATGAAAATTTCTTTTCTTCCTCATATTTTCTTATCCACTATTTCCTATTTAATTATTTTATACCTGAGGGGGAAAAACAGAAAAATATTTAAAGTAAAAATTTTACTTCTTGAATTAACATTTATAAACTGATTAGATGATGACAGATATTTAAATATTAAATTGTAATTAGTGATGTGAATTTTAAATTCTTTACAGGAGTACAGGTTTGTGCTGGAGATAGAAATTATTAGAAAGGTATTTTCATACGAGTAAAGTAAAAGCAAAGAAGGATAAATGCAAAAAAAAAAAAACCAACCCAAAACAAGGCAGAATAAATGTAAGGTGGGGCTCTAAGGATTGACTGTTAATCTCTTCGTGTGATGGCAAGATGACTAAAAGAGTTTGATATTCTCTCCAAGGAGGCTTCTAAAAGCATATCTGTTCTATGAAATGTTTTTTCTCTGGACATAATTAATTTATTGTACTTTCACATTCTTTAGCAGTCTTTCCTTGGAATATAGTTTCTTAAATAGCACAAACTTTGAATTAGAGAATTTTTAGAAATTCAGACTTGGAAATTTTATGGTGTGTATATCCACATGTAAAGGTCTGTTTATTCTGGAAGGATAAAAGATTGCTAATGACTCAGCCTGTATCCCTGATTTCTTTTCTGTTATTCTGGTGCTCAGCACATACTCTTTATGCCATGGACTTAGCTTTTCACTGAACACTGACTCTCATTTATTTGAGTAAAAAGGAAAGTGGTCAAAGGATCAAGAACTTTGGAGTTCTGGCTTTCCCACTATCTAAAATATATTTGGGCAAATCATTTAACTTCTTGTCTCTACATAGCTGTAAAGTAGGAATAACAGTTATGATCCCTGTCTCCAATGTGGGGACATTATGTAAATAATCCTGTACCCTTATTCTGTAACTGCTACTTCCTAGAGAAAAGAAAAGCCATTGGTTACTCAAGCATGAGCTTTCTGAACTTTCTAAACTCTGACCTCAGCATTTCCTTTCATCCCTACCCCATATACAAATTTTTTTATTTCTACAGATATAGACTTGGGAAAATAGAAATACCTTAAATTCTTCATATATTTAATTTTCTTTTGTTTTTAGGGATGGTTTGAGATTATTAAAGTGTCATACAAAGTTATAAATTTAGAGTGAGATGAATACATAATCATTTTCTGTATATATTTACATATTTTCTGAAAAAAGCATATATAGACAATGGAAGATCTAGCAATGTAAAACAGAAGCTACTAAACTGCTTAAAACACGGTGTTCCCAGCCCAGTCTACTCATGACTACCTGACCCAGTATCTTCCTTTTTTTTTTTGACATTTTTTTAATTGAGTTATAGTCATTTAACAATGTTGTGTCAAATTCCAGTGTAGAGCACAATTTTTCAGTTATACATGAACATACATATATTCATTGTCACATTTGTTTTTTTCTATGAGCTACCATAAGATCTTGTATATATTTCCCTGTGCTATACAGTATAATCTTGTTTATCTATTCTCCATTTTGAAATCCCAGTCTGTCCCTCCCCATATACAAATTTACCCATATTTGTACCTATTCTTATGTTTCCTTTCAATGTAGATGATGTGTATATTTACATTTAGGATTATTCCTGTCAACCTTTGCCTTTGACTCTATCACCTTTGGCCTTTTGCAGAACTTTCCTCCATTGGTCAATTTCAATTTGACTACTTCTTTTCCTTTCTGTAACATAGAGATCTATGTACATTAAAAAGTTAATGGTCCTTGCCTTCTTCTTTCATTTTACCCTCCTGAGGTAACAAATGTTAACTTTGCTGTATTCTTTCATTTTTTTTGTGCTTTTATGTATAATTGTATGTTTGTGTGTGTATGTGTATATTCTTCCCTTTTTATAAAAGTGGGATCACAAAGTATATATTACTCTGCATTTGCTGTTGTCTCTTAAAATATCTCATGGGCATGTATATTTAATTATTCTTTTTGGGCACCTGTGTAATATTTCATAGAATGGATATGTTGAATGGATCCATTTAAGTTTTCTTACTGATCTCTATTCATAGTTTCTTATTTGTTGCAGTTATCAGCAGTGCTGCATAATAACCATACTTGCCCATATGCCTTACACATTTTATTTTATTTTAATTGTATTCCTACAAGTGGAAATGCTAGATCAAGGGGTATGCATCTTTTAAAATTCAGTAGATGCTGTGAAAATACTTTTCTCAAATGATTATAGTATATCATCTTCCAAAAACCAATGTTGTTTTAAGTTAGTCTCCCAAAAAATAGTAATTTTTTTTTTTGCTAATCTGATTGGTACAAGATAATATCTCACTGTTGCTTTGGTTTTGATCATGTATTAATTGACTAATTGTGTTTCCTCTTATGTGAGTTATCTGTTAACAGCCTCAGTCCAGTTTTGTTGGGTTACTTGCCCTCTCCTGAAGAACTGGTAGGAGCTCTTTATGTTAGTATTGTTATCTGCTTGACATGTCTTAAGAATATTGCCTCTCAGTATATATTTTTCTTAAACTTGTTTAAAGACACTTTTGCCATATTGAGTAATATTTTAAAGGTAGTCTGTAAGTAGGAACTTGTTCTATCAGATATTAAACTTTACTAATTAGTCAGTGAGAACAATAAGATACCAATATAGGAACAGACAACTATAGCAGAGTAGAGTAACCAGGAGCAGATCCAAGTGTATGTAGCATTTTAAAATATGACGAGGGGACATTTCTATTCTTTCCCCCAATTTCATTGAATATTTAACCACTTGTTTTAGATAATTGACTTTCTGTATGTAAGAAAATAGTCCTCATACCTTGTACAAAAATGAATTGCAGACAAGTGAATGAATGAACCTAATTAAAAAATTAGGTTCTTTTCCTTTAAGAGCCTGCAGCAATACCTTCTGCTTATCCCTGTCAGAGATTTATATTGCACTGAAATTGCCCATTAATTTGTGTTTTCTTCTTTGTTAAATTGTAATTAGCATGAAGGAACTATGTCTTATTTATTATAGTATCTCCATTGCATAAGTGTAATGTTAGCACATAGTAGGTTCTTATATATAAATATCCATGGAATTAATGAATCAATTTATTTGTCCCTCTCTTGTTCTGTATTCTATTTTCCATTCCCAAGAAAATTTCTACATAATATAATATGTTATAAAAACGTAGTCACTTTGCCTTAAACCTGTAGTAGTAATATAGTCAAGAAAGGCCAGGAGCCTTGATCAGGGTTGTTGATAGTGGGTAGGGATAGAAGTAGATGGACTTCACAGAGATATAGTAGAAAGTAGACTCAACAAGACCTTAGTGATTTAGTTGAATGTTGTAGCGAATGAAGGAAAAAACATAAAAGATCTTGGAGACATTCACTGAGATAGGTTATACAGCAAAAGGAGAATTTTTTCCCTATATGAGGTTATTATTCGTCTGCCTTTTTGGATGCATCTTGTCTCCCTAACACTAAAACCCGATTGCAGGTATAGTTCATTTTCAACTTATTGCTTTTCTCTTGAGAATCTTCTTTTTTGTTTTCTGCCTCTTGCTTCTCCCAGTTGTTGAATTCTGTCTTAATTACAGCTACTCTACCTCTGAGGGTGAGGTAGGGAAAGTACGTGAGTAGGCAAAGGCAGAACTCTGTGTAGCAGCAGCAGGAAAGAAGAGCTAAGAATACTTATGTATTCATCATTTTTTATTCTATCTCAAGGACGTTTGTTTACTGTAGAAGACGTCCAATAAGGAACACTGAAAAGTTGGAAGGGAGGGATCCATGGGTTTTGGGTTTATTACCAGGAAGCATGTAACAGGACGTGGATGAAAGTAGAAGATATATGACAACTCAAGGAGCCTACGTTTTAAATGGTGACCATGGGTAGCAAAAATGTTCTGATGATTATTTTTTAGCAGTTTACTAGTAGATGATATACTTAAACGTTAAGAGTCTGATGTGGCAAGAATAGAGTACACTTTGAAGAGAGGAAAGCCTTTACTGTAGAAGCCTTTCATCTCTTTATCCTTTGGATTTTTCTTTGTTTGATACCCCCAAAATCCTGATTGGCACCTGGTAAATGTTTCTTGAAGAAATGAGTTACATTTTATGACTGTCTATGTAAAATATTTAGATTCTAATTTTAATGTATTCTGTATAGCAGTGGTTTCCAAATGTGATCCAAATGCTGGTTATAATAAAGTTATTTACTGGTCTAAGATGAAATAAGGAAAATATAATGGTGATGGTGAATTTATTCAACATAAATAATCTTACATTCTAAATTTTTAAAATCTTTTTGGAGAATTAAAATGTTTATTCATCTATGAAATGTTGCTGATAGTCTATTGTTGTAGGTTGATGATGATGATGATGCTTTTCCATGTTTTTACTTTGCAAAATACAACAACAAAGTAATGATAATCCTGTATTGTCCCCTACCCCAATTTTTTAAAGGTTTACTTACTGCCTTATGAAATTTACAAGTCTTGTAATGACTGCTAGTAATCATCTTACACAGCTTGTTAATTAACAACAAAAGTATTTGATCCAGTGCTGTTTGACTTTGGGTTACATTAAATGTATTCATTTTCCACCTTTATTATTTATTGAGTATGTTTTATTTTTTCATTCCCAGTACCTGGTTATGGATTATTATGTTGGTGGGGATTTGCTTACTCTACTTAGCAAATTTGAAGATAGATTGCCTGAAGATATGGCTCGATTTTACTTGGCTGAAATGGTGATAGCAATTGATTCAGTTCATCAACTGCATTATGTACACAGGTGAGTAAGACACAATGAAGGAGTGGATTGTATAAATGTCAAAAAAGATGTTTTTGTAAGAAAGTGATAATTTTGATGGCCATGGAATAATTTCTTCTTTGTGAGCTTTTTGACAGGTATGATTTATTTAAAAATTTCCCTACAAATGTGTTACTTTTGTATACAGTTTAAGATGGCACGGAAAGAAAAAATGGGCCATTTACAAAATGATTTTTATATAAGATTGTTTTTATGCCTCTTGACACATATTGAAGATCTATGTAAACAGCTCTTAATAATTTATGTGTGATAAAAAGTGTTAAAACTTACTGGATGGTTTAAAAGGCAGTCTTAACATTTTAAAAAGAAAGAAAATAGGAAATCCTCACAGAGTTACTGGTGAATTAATCATTCAAGTGAGAAAATCTTTGGGTTGTGTAAAATGTGAAGAGTAAAGAGATGCTAAAGAGAAGCGGGTAAAGGAATCCTGCCATGTTAGAAAGAAACTGAACCATTTTCTTAGACAATGGTTTGAAAACTGGAATTGGAATTATGTGGAGGGCTTGTTAAAACTCCAGAGTTTCTAATTGGTTGAATGGGTCCGGGGAATTGGCATCTCTCAGACTTTCCCAGGTGATGCTGCTGATGCTGCGACTGGTCTGGTGACCTCACTATTGATAACTTTGGCTGTAAGACAACAAGTTGTGGGTGAAGAGAGTAATCTCTGTGAACAAGAGGAATGTGGGAGGAAGAAAATTTTCTGTTTCAGTGTTTGTTTTTTAAAGATGTCAGTCTCTTATGTTGATTGGTTTAATTAGTAATGAAGTTTTAGGATATTATTAAAAGAAGAATCCTTTGCTTAAATTTTTTGTGTTATATTGGATTTCAGTTTTGACTTTTGCCTATTTATATGCTTTTCTCTGTTGATATCTGATAGTCACAAGTTTTATTGAAAATAAAAACATGAACATACTTTGCAAATTGTAAAAGCACAATGCAGTTTTTAAGATGGTAGAGTGGTTTGAAAGTGAATTATACGATGAGAAACCAAATGCTTCTTTGTCGCTTAAGTGGTAACCAAAGCTCCTAGCTGAGGACTGTCATTTAAAAATACTTTAAAAATACCATTTCACTGAACATTTTAAGAATGTTAGTCTTAGACTCATGGTGTTTAGAGAAACTTTATTCAGTTCACATGTAAATTCTTGACTAGGAATGATTACGTCTGAAAGTAATTCTAGATTGGAGATAGTAAATACAAGGTTTTTGTGTTATCCTCCCTTTTGCCAGGCTTGTGACAAATACTCTTAACTGATCACAGGACTCTTTCCCACTGACTATGTATGCAGTCTTAAAATTCTTCTCAGTACAGCTTCTGAGTAACAACTCTCTTTCTGATATTGACATGTGGATTCAAATCCATTTCAACCCTGAGCGCTGCTTAAGTACCTCTAATTTCATAAGGTACTTAATGTTAAATGAATCCTGTTTATTCCATTGTTGGACAGCTTCACTGTTACAGAGTTTTACTTTATGTTAAGCTGAATTTCTTTTTCTGCTAATCATTGGTCCTAGTTTTGCTTTCAGGGCCACATATTATAATCTGATCTTACAGTAATTATGTCTTCTAAAGTCACCACTTTAGGTTAAACGTTTGAACATTCATAGTTTCTCTGCTATCAGAATTTACATAAATATTCTCTCTCCTGCTGTCTCACGTTTGCGTACCTACACACACACACACACACACACACACACACACACACACACACACAGAGTCTTAACCTGTGACCACGCCTATGTGTCCTCTCCTTGTCTTTCCCTTTGCCCTTTGGTGGACATGTTCTGATGTATCAGTGCACTTCTTGAAAGGTGATTCCCATGTTCTGGATAAACTGTTTTCAGCAAATGTCTTACTGAGGAAATATTTATTGAGTCCTCTTTTGTAAACAGCACTGTGCTAAACTGTGTGAAATTTTAATATAGTATAGTATAGCATATAGTCCTGACTTTAAAGAAGCTTCCAGTCTGTTTGGAGACACAAAACACAAGACATAAATAAAAATTAATGCTAGTTAAATAATGATTTAGGGTAAAAGTGTGAGACGGAATGAGTTCAGATTGTGAGTTACTAAATGAATATACAAGCAAATTACAATGAGCTCCAGAAAAATGAGTAGTAAGCTTAATTATGGTCATTTCTAATGGTTAACTCTTACTGTGTGCTATGGACTTTACCTACATTATTCTAAATCTAACAGTAATTCTATGATGTAGATGTCATCTAAAATGAATGTTGCTCTATTTTGTATGAGGAAACCCAGCCCCAGAGACATGAGACTGTAAGTAACATAACCTAGGTTAAAATCTAAGTCAGGATGATGCCAGAATTTATGGACTTTGCATAAGATATTGCTCATAAAAGAATGCTTTCCTGGTGGGGCTTTAAAGAATAAGAGGGCTACCTGTAGGCAAAGAGGAAGACATTCTAGAGATAAGGGAATGGTAAGAGAAAAGCATATAGACAAGCAAATGGCAGTTCTGGAAAATAGTAGACTAGTTTGGTGAGAGAAGAGAGTTCAGTAAGAGATAAATTCGTAAAGACAGATTTTGGTACTTATTGTGGAAGATTTCGTCCTTAATTTTAGGTATCGAAGTAGTTGATTAAAACAGTGTGTTAAGTAAGTTGGTTTTATGGTAAAATTCATGTCATAAAGTTTTCATGTTTTGTCAGATTTCAGAATGTTTTGTAATTAGAACTTTGAGGATAGGAAATTAGAGAATATAAAAAGGGAATAATGGAGACTGGATGTATTTAAGGAAGGAAATACTTATTTTTCCCTTGTCTTCTTTTAAAACAAACTTTTTTCCAGACTTACAAAATACATTATTGGTCCTTTACTAACAGTACAGAAATTTTCATATGAGAAGTTTGTCTTCAGTTGTGCATGGTTTTATCAGGAGACAAATGAGAAGTAGCAGATAATAGGAATAATCCAGTCCTATGTGCACAACTTCATGTGTTCAGCGTGCTTTGGTATTTCAATCAATAACATTTACAACTTCCTTTGAAATTTCTAGGAATACATTTATAAAAAACAATATGAAGCATTATATACCTATTTTCAAAGGAGATAAGTGGATATAAGATGAAAGAGATACGAATGTTCAGAGATGCAGAAATAGGAATAAAAATCGATTTTGGATAGCTGTCAAATTGATTTACAAACTCATCTAATAAACTGTTTTCTAGTAATATTGTGTAGTGAAAAAGCATTAAACTAGTGGTGTTAGAAGACTTATATACCCTGCTTGCTTCTCCATAAGCTTTTTAAATTTAAATTTCCCAACATGCTTTATCATTGAGATTAAGGCAGTTTGGAACTTTGTCTATAAAAAAAAGTCCTCGTGTGATGATGAAGAGATGCTGCTTATTGAAGTGTTAGTGACTAGCTGCTGATATGCAGACCATTTCCTTGTTATTATGTTGAGAAACTCAAGAATGTAGTGGTAGTATAAACACTCAAAAGGTTTAGTTCTATTATTTTCTACTGAGAAATACCTTGGTAGCTTCTTCCCTTTTAAAAGAGGCAGGGAAAGGATGCAGTGGGATTGAGGAAAGAAGAAACATGGTATTAGTAGAGCAGCTAATACTGGTGAATAATCTTTGGTGGAATTAGAATTAATGAGTGGCTGATGGATTTGTTAACGTTAAAGATGTCAGTTCTCCCCAAATTGATCCATAGGTTTAATGTGATCCTTGTTAAAATCTCAACAAGATTATACTGGTGAATAATCTTTGGTGGAATTAGAATTAATGAGTGGCTGATGGATTTGTTAACGTTAAAGATGTCAGTTCTCCCCAAATTGATCCATAGGTTTAATGTGATCCTTGTTAAAATCTCAACAAGATTATTTTTTTAGTCCCAAGTGAGAGTAGTAGTGGTGTGCTAATCACCCTTAACAACTCTAACTCCTGCCAGCTTCTGCAATAGTGATCAGGCTTCAGGCTACTGGCTTGTTTCAAAATAACTGTATCTAGCTACATATTAATAATGTTATTTCATTTTCTCTACTTATGACAGTCATATAGGTTTTTTTTTCCATGTAGGGTTTTTTTGTTTAGAGTAGTGAGGATTTTTTTTTTAGATTAAAAACAAGCTTATTCTAAAGTTTATATGGAACAGCAACAAAACTAAAGTAGCAAAAATGATTTTGAAAAAAAGAGAATAAAGTGGGAAGAATCACTCTACCTGATATTAAGACTTACTACATTGCTACCTTGAGCAAGGCACTTTGGTAATTATTGAGGAATAAATGCATAGATCACCAGACAGAATAAAGAACCTAGACAGAGATTAACACAAATAACTTCCGACTGATTTTGACAAGATTGCAAAAACAATTCAATGGAGGAAACAGTTTTCAACGAATGATACTAGAATAATAGGCAAAAAATAAACTTCCTTAAACCTCACACAAATACAAAAAATAATTTAAAATGGATCATTGATTTAAATGTACATCTTAAAAGTATATGATATGATGCCAAAAATATTATCCCCAAAACAAAAATTAATGAAGTGGACATCACCAAAATTAATAATCTGTATTCTCCATAAGATCCTGGTAAAAGGATAAAAAGGCAAGCTGCAGATTAGGAGAAAATGTTTGCAAGAGTCTTATATGTAGAATATGTAAAGAACTCTGAAAACTAAATTTAAAAGCCTTGAACAGACCAATTAATTATAAAATGGGCAAAAAACAAGAACAGACATTTCACCCAAAGAGAGAGATAATAGATGGCAAGTAAACGAGACATCACCTTAAGGACTGATGTTGCTCATTAAATAGTTGTAGAACTAAAACAGAAAATAGGTAAAAGGGAGAGGGCACAGTATTCATGGCTGTATGCTCTGATAATGAACATAACAGTAGTACAACTATAAAAGTAGGTGTTAGTAATTGAGTGAATTGATGCACATTTTTTTCAGTTTTCAGTAATTAAATTATCGGTGCTA